GGAGTTTAGGCCCAGACACGGCTAGTGACGTCAGACTTAACGACCGGATACATTCAAAGGAGAGAGAGGCAATATTCAGACGACACACTCAGAGGCAGTTCTCTGTTTCGCTGCCTCTGGGTTGTCCTCACTGACCCCAGTGCTGCTGTTGCTAAGTTGAGTTAAACTTTGCATGTCTCCAATAGAGACAGACTGTCCTCCTTCCCCTCACAGCTGTGTGGCCTGAATGCTGGAAATAACCACCGGCTTGTGGATCTGGAGTCATGGCTGTTTAACAGTGGCTAACATTGGCGCCCTGCCATTGTAAACTGCAGGGGGGGAAGAAAACAGGGAAAGACACATACTTAGCTTCCTCTTGGAGATTGCTGAGCTGTCACCCAAGGACAAGCAAGAAACAGCTGGTCCTTTTGGGAGGCACCGAGGCCCAAAACTGACCAAAAGCAGTAAAGGTTTACTATTTTAGTCATTATTATTATAATACTTATCCATAACCTTTATGATCATTGTAAGGCGATGTTGTGCTTCTGGATGAGGCAACTACCTCTTGTAGTGTTTAGTGTACCCAGATTGTTAAGATCTTCAACAATTTTAATAGCAAGGATACTCAACAGCCTCAATAGACCTGGTTATTGAAGAAATTCAAGAAAACGAGTGGAAGTCGACAATTCTGGAACTCTTTCTGGTCAAGCGGTCATGGCAGACAGCTGCCTCTCCCTGAGCCTGGTTCTGCCTGAGGTTTCTTCCTGTTAAAAGGGGTTTTCGCCTTCCCACTGTTGTCAAGTTCTTGCTCATAGGGGTCATCTGATTGTTGATATTTTTCCTCTGTGTTATTGTAGGGTATATATAAAGTATATAAAGCACAATATAAAGTGCCTTGAGGTGACAGTGATTTGGCGCCATATAAATACATTTGATTTGCAATTTAATTAATTTTTAAGTTAGTTTCCAGAGCTTTCGGTTACACCTCATGGCCATCTTCTTCACAGGTACTGTGCATAACCCTCTCATCATGTGAGTCTTATTACACACACAAGTTGAACTTGTGGTAAGATTTCCCTCATCTTTTTTAACCAACCCAAGAACCAGTTTATTAGTTGTATTCCACTTCTGCTTGTCATCACTCCACCTTTGACAGTGACTCATGTTCAATCATGTACACGTCAAAAGAACAAAGACAAGGAGACACAACAGACACCTGCTCTTTTTACAGTTTATTGTATATGTATATTTATATATATATATATATATACATACATACATATATATATAAATATAAAACTACAAAAGTAAGACTGTTTCAAATTCATAGACAGCTGTACTTTTATTTCATTTACTATGTATACATATATATGTATGTATATATATACATATATCAATATATCAATATACATATACATATATATGTATATATTATCTACAGTCCACATTTGGATCCCAATACAGTGATCAGCTGATAGTTTCTCTGTGTGTGTTTGTGTTCTATTGCATAGAAAAAGGCACAGCTCTGAGGTCTGTGTAAAATACAGCCTTTGCAGAGGGACTCAGCCTCGACTGTGGTCAGTCCTTATCTGCGGTTAGAAATTGCCGCACGCTCGGACAGCGCTTAAACCGATTCGGTGACAAACACTGATCGAAAAAGACTCAGAACCTTGAATGTTGTTCATACTATGTACATTACTTTTGGCATCAGAGCATCTGACAGGCTTTGGAGACTTGACATCTGAAGGTTTGAGATGGGCTTTTTGAGTATTGCTGCATGAACTCTTCGCCTTCAACTGGAAAGTGATGAACAAGAGAGTACAAAAGATGTAAAAAGTTGTGGCTGCCACCCCAGAAATCAAAAAAACAAAAAACGATAACAATGCAACAAAACAAACATAAACAAGATAATATAATTATCTATGTATATAAAAAAATGGCTTCCACCCCATAGTTCCACACTCGGATACATTCCTTTTTGAAGTACATTCCTACCACACATTCTGTACACACATTTACAATCCAAATGTTCACATAAAAAATAAATATATTTACAAAAAAAGGGGGAAAAATCCATACGAATAAATAACTTCAATGACAATTTAAAAAAAGGAAAGAAAAACAAGCACTCCAAAATTTAAATATGGTGAAAGCAACAAGATACGGTCATCTAGAAATGGTATTAGTTGGTGCTGCCATGTGCTCGGCTCACACTCTGCTTCGGTTTAAAATGCCATCCTTTTACAGGCTAGTTGAAGTCAAATGTACCCTGGGAAGCTGATGATCTTCCACTGGAACACAATGTTCTCAAACAATACAGCGAGACCACCGCAAAGTTGTGCTGGCAAACACACAAGGGTTCAGGGGTTCTTACGGTGACTTGCTGAAAAACGCTTCCATGATCAAAATAGCCACTGGTGGCATTCCCCAGCCCTCTGGATCATTACAGTGTCCAGAAATGCTTCTTCTGACAGATGCTGTATGATGAGAAAATACAGCACACAGCAGCTACAATGGTGACTAACATTAAAGCTGTGTTCTCTGGTGCCCCTTCTATACTTTCACTAGATGATTCTGTGTAATATGTACCTTAAACCCACAGACAACTGTTACTCAGAATCACTTAACTGCCAGTTTTGTGTTTTAATGCCATAAATATTCAATGGTGACCTCTGCTGGGTGGTGGTTGGAAGTGTTTTGAAACAACACTTTGCATGGTTGCAGTATCAGGTTAACACTGTGGTTTGGGTTTCCTACTTCACCCGCATTCTTATTATTTACGAGTCAGATTTAGACCTCCTGGCCCGTGAGCTTTTTGAGGCAATCTCAAAATTGTCCCGCAGAACCGTGAGATTTTGCACTTTAGGGCTTCTATTCTAAGCACAAGTAAACATACTCAGGGTGTGTGTAATACTGTATGTCCTGCTACAATTTGCCAGTCACCTGTGTTGCTAAATCAGAGGGAACTAAACCTCACCCAAAAAATAGTAGTCCTACTAAACGCCCACATTTTTCTTGTGTAATTCCAAGAGTTGCAGTGGTACCACAGTGAATTTCCCTGCAATGGGGTAACAGCTGTTTTGTTTTCAGGCCTGCGCAGCTAAATTTAACATGCGTGTAGTGGGCCCTGAGCCTCTGCTTAGGCTGCACTTTTCACATCATCTACATCCAACTGGGAGCCATGAGTCGGTGCTGCTGCTGCTGCTGCTGCTTCCAATGTAAACACGCCGAGCTTTCCCCTGTGGGTGTAGCTCATTTGAATTCTGCTGCAAGTGAATCATGATAACTAGCTCATATGACCGAACGCATGTAAAACAGCATCCAGCACAGTTATATGTGCTTGCTGATAAGGAGAAGGAAGAAAAAAACAAAAAACGAAGGTCCTGCACTGAATTCATAGACATGATGTGTACAAAAAGAGTTTACCAGGCGAGGCGTCGCAGAGCCACTCCCAAACTGTAATCGTATAGCCAAGCTAATATGTCATCTAGCACACTGGTAAAACTACATATTCCTTTTTATGCTTGCTTTACAAATAAAACATAGCATCTGTAATAAGATAGAGATTAAATAATTACTATTTGATCATGAGAAATTACCTTACTTAACGATAGTTTCAATACAATAAATTAAACAAAAAACATTAAGGAGTGACCTCTCTAAGCTGTTAAAACGAAAGAAAAAAAATACTGTAAAAACAGGAATTGAATAAGTGGTCATTTTGAAAGGCACTCATCTGCTAAAAGCCATAATTACAGTGTGTGTGTGTGTGTCTCATGTTTATGCTTGTATTTCTTTACCTGTGAGGAGTAAGTGTCCCCACAAGGGTAGATAGAGTTGTCCACAACAAGGACAATTTCATTGCTTCTATTTACAGTTACTCCTTAGGGTTAAGGCTTAGATTAAAGTTAAAGATTACAAAGAGGATTAGGTTTCGGGAATGAAGGAAGTCAAAGGAGGTCCTCACAAGTATAGAAATACAATTATATGTGTTTGTTTCCCGGTTACTTCTTTTCCATATTTGGAAAGGCGAGGACAGTGCATGCACAGTGTTGTGTAGTAGTAGTAGTAGTAGTTGTCATAGTAGTACTAACTGACATCACCATCGATGTTTACAATTACCGACTTTTGAAGAGAGTTTTTAAAAAAAAACAATGTAAAAACAACAACCAGGAAAAAAATCGATCCCACGTTTTCATTCCAGTCTGATTAAACTGTTTCTCAGGGGGGGGGCATCCTTGAGTCAGGAGCCCACCAACACCTCCATGATGTGGTCCAATTCTGTCAGATCAATTTTGAAAGGCTGATTGGCTGAAACCTGGGGGGCAGGGCCGCTGTACGGTGCCCCCAACGATTTGAGTAGGTCGTCCGCCGTCACCACTGGCGACACTTTGGCGAGGCCGCCGGTGCTTGCTGTCCCACCCCCTGCTCCCCCTGCTGTCGTGCAAGGGTCAAAGTCATACATGGATGTGTCAATGTCGGCGAACAGGACATCATCCAACGCCAAGTCTGAGAGAAAGGGCGAGGAAGAGGACGGGGGACAAGAAGGAGAGGAGGAAACGTCTACCAGGACACCTGGGGGCACTGCAGGGAGAGTGTCCATTGGCCGGAGCTCAGCACAGCGGCCTTCCACTAGGAAAACGGCAGCTGCCTCTGGTTTAGCACCCGTAGTCCTGCAGTCTCTGGGTGAGCCGGTGGGTGTAGGTGGGAGGAGTTGGGTGGTTGGTGTGGGAGCTGGGGAGGTAGTCATGGTCGTAGTATTAGCTGCTGCTGTCCTTGTTATGGCTGTAGGAGGACCCAACTCCATGTCACTCAGAGAGGAGGAAAAGACAGGCACAGGGACAGAGGGGGCCTGGCTCAGAGGTGCTGAAATGGGAGGCTGCACTGGGGGTGGTGACAGCGGAGGGGTGGGTGGAGATACCGCGCAAAAGGCTGAATCTCCACCATCCTCCTCCAGTAAAGAGGCAGGAGTGAGGCAGGCCTCCAAAGGGGCAGGACAGGCCTCCAGACGGCTGGGGCAGGCCTGGGATACCTGGCAGTTGGGAGGCACCATTGGGTGGGGTGAAGGCGGAGGAGCAATCGCTGGCATCAGCAGTGCAGAAGGCTGGGATACCTGTGTGCTCGTTGCCGCTGACAGAACGCCGAAAGACGGCGGCGCCTCACGGAAGCCTTCGTCCATGGGGTCGTCGGGTGGCGGCGAGGGCGGAAGGAGAAGTGGCCGCAGGGAGCCCTCTTGCTTGAGTTCGTCCTGGATGCGGCGGAGCATGTTGTTGATGAGGACGCGGCGCTCCAGGCTGGGTTCTCCCAGCGGCCGTTGGCTGTACAGCTTCATCAGAGAGATGTTAAAGATGGTCTGCCGCTGCAAGGTGTACGACACCTTCGAAAGACCTTCTGGAGTGACGCCTAGCCCCCCTCCCGCCACCGGCGCCTCCAGCGTTTTGCCTTCCAGCCCCTCTTCATCCTCGTCCAGCTTTCGCTTCGCACCTTTACCGAACATATATCTGAAAAACAAATAAGCAGAGACAGAGGAGAGATTATTGAAGACGCATATAGCTTTGCTAACATTAGGGTTTAGCTTTCTTATCGCTGGATGTTACTGACATCACACAAAACTGAGAGTAGAAAAAAATGTCTGTTTATAGTTTAGACTTTTCCCATTTTAATGTGATGATCCAGCACTGTGACAGCAAACAATAACCGAAAAACAGGGAAAGCATAATAGGTCCACTTTATAAGCAACTGTGGTTTGGCCTACTCAACAATCACTGATTACACTGACCAGACACAAGTGTCAATTCTCTTTTCAGGTTATTGAACTTTTGTGACTATTCAACTTTTTTTTTTTTTAAAGTCATTAATAAGCTATCATTCCTTAATAAATAGCTAGTTTTTCACAGTCCTAGTTACTTCCTCTCACTAGTGGACGTTTCCCTGCTCTGTAAATAGAGTCTTTCTAAATTACTGAAACTTCATGTTCTGGTTTGTTCCCCACAATATACCTCAAAACAACTCTGATATTCTAAAAAATAAAAAAAGGAAAAGACAATTCTCATCTTGCAATTGAGGGATATATTCTTATGGTGAGTAAAATCCAGCATCCCATTGGATTACAGTATAAAATGATCATCAAACCCAACCTCATCTCACTAAAACACTGACATACTCCACAGTGAAGTTTTCAGACTGAAGCATAGCAGCTTAACTGGCGTGATTCAAGAAGCTGCTTAAACGCAACAAGCTTACTGTGACAGGGGATTTAAAAAAAACACATATATTGAAACCATAAGCAGCTGCAGTGGGAGCCTCACCACTGCACACTAAGGCCCAGCACACACACACACACACACACACACACAAGAAGTTATGTAATAGCAGCGCTCCCTGCTGTACCACAGGATCAGAGGCCAGATTTAAAGCCCACCCCCTCCACTCTCCCTCCTCGTGCCACATTAGAATAGCACACCGAGTTACTAAGTAGGAGGTGGTGGGGGGACAGTAGGAGAAAAACGGCTGAGAGAGATTATTGCATGAAATTCCCTGAATAAACACATTAACTTTAAGAGATACATGTATCTACTGAATTGTTTATGTGCTGCAAAAAAGAAAGAAAGAAAGAAAGAAAAGCATTGCTGCAGTATGTTTGACTTTAATCCAGGCTGACAGGCTCATGCAGCCAGCCGCTGTCTACACACATACACACTGCGCATGCGTCTCCTCATTCCTCACACACACACACACACACACACACACACACACACACACACACACACACAGGAAGCAGGAGCTGCAGGCCCAGTCACCACGACTGGTTGGTTGCCATGACAAACAGAGTCAGCTGGGAATTCACCCAAAGAGATGACAAAGAACTGGAGGGAAGGTGGGGGGTGTGGGTGGGGGGATAGGTGGTGGTGTTGGTGGAGAAGGGGAGGGGGATGGGGGCGGAGCAGGAAGGAAGAGGAGGAAGACAAGGAGGAGGAGGGGAAAAAGTGAGAAGAGGAAGTAGAAGAGGAGGTGAGACTGCTCTGGTAAGGTGGGAGGGAAATGAACAACATTTTCTCCTCCCTCCAGCAAATGACTGCTGCTCGGTTGCTTTTGGGCCAGGCACTGAACCCCAGTTGCGTCATTATTGAGACCTTACAGATCTGTTGGTTCAGACTGTTGGGTGAACATACACAGGTTGTTGGTAACATTTCGCTGTTGTTACAGGATGTTAGGCTACATGCTATCGCTATTTACTGTGGTTATTTATTGTGGTTTAACCTGTTAAAAGTCTTTTAGTCTGACAACGACCATTTTCATATATATCTGGTTTTAAATAATTGCAGCTATGCACCCACCAAGGACAAAAACGTAAAGAAAATTCTGTATCAAGCCTTGAAATCATAACTTCCCTACTTCTTTTTTTAGTATGGAGTGACTGCTGTGTGAAATTTGTTATAAATCCATTCAACTGGAGGGAAAAAAGGTGCACATTACAAAGTTTTATTAAATTGGACTCAACTGCAGTAAATAAGTTGATTCATCATTAATTAACTAAGTTGGTCCAACTTAAATGCTTTAAGTTGGAATAACAGAATTGTATAAAACGAAAATACAGCAATTTAATCACATTAAAATCCTTTGCCCCCTAAAAAGCTGTGCTTTTCAGTCGACTGCTTGTTTTGTTATTGTTGTTTTTGGTTGTTTGTTGTTTTCCTTTTCTGTTATAAAAATATGTAAAACCTTTATTAAAAACTAAGTAATAAAAATAAATAAATAAATAAATAAAATAAAATCCTTTCCCTAATTGTTTCATGTTCATTCAATTTTTTTTGAGTGCACGTATGAAAACTATGAATTTCTCCACCTATAAACAAAATCACATCTCCTCCATTCTTGTGACAGCCAGCTCTTCAAGTGTGGAGAATCAGAAGTATTAACATTTTATTTTCTATGAACTAGTCCTGGCTTATTCACTTATTCTCATCAAGCTGTTGCCCTCAAAAGCAAGACATTTCAAAACTGTAGGATTGTCTTTATTATTAAATCATAGTTTGTATATCATATATGTGGACAAAAATCTGAAAAACAGCAAAGAAAACAAACTACATTTTTAGTTTTGTTTTAATTTTAGACTTCTTTGTTATATATGTCATAGTGACCTTGATAATAAAACAAAAACAAAAGCTGTTCACAAAAAAAATTAAATGAGGACTTTTCTTGATCATGTTACGAAAAATAACATTGCTATTTAAAAATCCTGTGAGCTGTGGAGGACACACTGGATTAAAGGCTGGGCTGGTTGCTATAGTTTAGACAGCCATCATCAGATGAAAGAGAGACCACTAAGCACCCCACTGCTTCAGCCCCAGGTGAGAGAGAGTCCAGAAGTAGCCAGCCTTGGAGGAAAAGCTTGCTCTATCTGTCTGCATGGCACACTTTTCAGCAGTCTGAGTTTGGGCAGATGCTTCATTAGCTTCATGATGTGCATCAGGTGTTCTCAAGTAGTCTCTTAAACTCTGTCTGTTTTTTAAAATTAAAATAAAATTATAATTATCCTCAAGATGTTAGGCTAAGCCTTGCTTGCTCTGTGCTGGTAGAGAGAGGACCTCTAAGATTTCATCCGCTAGTTTGTGGCGTCTCAACTTGAGCATTTTCAGTGTTGCCATTTTTTTGAAACCGCGATGATTGAGTGTTAGTTGGGCCAGTTTTCCATAGACTTATTCAACAAAACTCTTTGAAACCAGAGGAGTTGCCCCCTGCTGGCCAATAGAAAGAATGCAGGATTAATGCACCACAGCATTGTCTTCGCCTTCCAGTCCCAGAAGCTACATGAATCTTTTCTAAACAGTCTTTGTGTGTCAACACTAATCCACAAAGAAATAGTTTGAAAAATCAACACATTTTGTAAACTATGTGTTTCTTTACTGCAGTAAAGAAATTGTTGGGAGTTCATTCAAAAATGAATGACTGATTTTTAACATTTGTGTGTGTTAATTTAAAAAAGCAGCCTCTCCACCCACTGCAGCTGCTTGTGGATCTTCCAGGGAAATGGCGAATCAGAGAGTGTCAGAGAGAGACAGAAACAGAGAATCAAAGAGAGAGCAACAGAGATAGTTTCAAAGCATTTTGCGGGTGTGTGATTGAGAGCTGAAGCAGCTGCGCATGTCTGACTCACTGAGTCATGGTGGGGTGTTTAGGCTCACACACACACACATTCGCACACACTGAGTGCAGGGCTGACATACCAGAGGTGCCCCACCCCTTACATTCCACTTCATTATCCTCCTCTTCCCTTTCCTTCTACTCCACATCTTCTTCGCTCACTTTCTGGAATTTTACTTCTTCTCAGTCGTTCTTTTTCATCCGCCCTTCAGCATTTACATCACACCCTCCACCTCCCCGTTCCGCCGGCTGTCAAAGTTCACAGGCCCAGCACCGTCCTACTCTCTATGAGCCATGTCTAGATATGACCGCACGAGGGGAAGAAAAACAGGTCATAAATGAGTCGACGTGATAATGCATAGCCGTGGAGGAGTGCTACGCTCTAAAATGGAGCCGCGATCTTTATTCAAGGTCATAGTGATGACGTGAATCACTGTTAGCTGTCTTGCAAAGTAAGGTATTAAAACCACCTTTTTCCCATGAGGTAAACATAGTAAAAGGTATATTCCGACCTTCAAAGCAAAGAAGCTTTGAGTAGAAATACAACAAGCTGCAGTTCTGAAGGTCAAAAATAGAACAAATTTTCCCCTTGTACTCACTACATTACATTTGATACAGAGTTGCAAAACAAAATCAGTAGTTACAGAAGTAACAATACTCTGTGAAAGGTTAACACCATCATCATATCAGAGGCAGACGACACAAAGTAGACAAAACTTTACTCAAAGTCCAATATCTAAGTAATATCTGTTTATTTATTGCGTTTAATCCTTTTCTCCTTGCCTTTGCAAAATATACCAAACAAATCCAAATCCATACATAAACAATTACTCCTATCAGAGTCATCAGATTCATGAGAAAAACATTTGTCAAAAGAAGCATTTCTTTGGTTTTGCCTGCAGCGTAAAATATCACCAAATATCCTGATACAAAACCAGGAGCTAACCACACACTGGGCTGGCCCCCTGAATGTCTTTAGGCTCGTCTACTTCATAAAGGAAGGATTTACTGCAACTGATAGAACCACACTACAATCAAATAGCACCTTAACGTGAAATTTACAATCTGGTGGGTGCCTGCAGCTAAGCGTGTGATAAAGATATGATTACATTAAAAGCTGACAAAGCTTTTAGAAAAGTGGCCTTTCTAGTAAAACAATCACATGAAGTGAAGAGGAAAAGATGACGATAAGAAGGGATGACTTTGCATGAACAAATAAAGAGCATGGTGTGAATCGAATCCCAAAATCACAGTAAAGGACCATGTAGAGCTTTTTTTACACGCAGAGGTGAGCTCTGCTGTGTGGAAGTGCATGTTAGCCTGTAAACGCACAGACATGCGGGCTGTGCATGTTACTCCGAGAGCTGACTGTAGTGAGTGTGTGTTGTGCAGTAGTGCAGTGCTAGTGGATGGACTCTGCAGTGATATTATGATCCTGTAACCGGATACGCTGGTTTCCATGCCTCAGCTGCGCATCCACCCCTCCCACCCCCTCACCTCCACATCGGGCTATTTCAGGTTCTCTAGATGCACAAAGTGCAAACACTCCACTACACTGCTGCAGGTCGAGCAAGAAAGCAGTCAAAGTTGGACGCGTGTTCGACAGCAGTCTGCAGGCGTGACTGCGCCATCCCGTTCTTCCTCACTGTAATGCACCCAGCTCTGCACATGAGGACGACGCTGTCCAACTCACTCCTCTGTGTCTCCCTCTTTTTTCCTCTCTCACTCACTCACACTCACACACACACACACACACACACACACACACACACAATGCAGAACTAGTAAACACATTCCAGACAAAACCCAGAGGAAGAGATGGTGTAGTTCTGGCCTGACCAGACTGACTACGCTCACCAGCTTCTACACTTCCACACGCAACTTAAGATACAATTACACTATGACGATACAAGCTACTACAGCTGATACTGCTCCTGCTCTGTCTACTACTGCAAGAATACCGGTTTTCTGACATATTTGAGTGCTTGCACACATGCGCTGAGGTGTGCCCCAATTACTCATAAGCATCGACAATCATTGAAAATCCTTATCAACGCCTTGCTGCCTTTTCTTCTCCCTTAAATGTTCTCTTTTTCATTGACCTCTAATAAAAGAAGAAAACACACGTATGTCATTCCCCAAAATACTTTTCATTAAGTAAGTCAAGGTTCACCTTGCACATGTGGTTTAAAAAGAAGATGTGGAGAAGGTGAAAAAAGGTTGATTACAGAAGCGAAGGTCATTCCATTTGTGATTTCACCTCCAGCAAATTCAAGTGCAATTGTGCAGTGTAATTTTATCATAATATTTTGAATAAGAGGTCAGTCGTGGCCCAACAAATTGGCAAATTATCTAACAATAAACTGAAATTCCATTTATACAAGACATCCTTAATCTGGAAAACACTTTTATTTTCAAATCCCTGGGAAAAAAAATGTTCCTGAGCGCTTCTGTGGAACAACAAGGAGGGAGGACAGATGGTAGTAGAGCGTCCAAAGCAAAATAAATAAGCCAATCATACTGCTGGAAACAATGTCCATCTGTGTGTGTGTGTGTGTGTGTGCGTGTGTGTATCTGTGTGTCTCATAGTGATCATAAACACTCACATGACAGAGGTCAGCTGGGTATCAGACAGGGAATTCACTACGATCTCTTACATAATGACGGACATGGTTACAAAACACTGCAGCTCCAACTGGACAACATGCAACATCCCATTAATAAAGAAGCACCGGCGTGTGTGCGCATGTGTGTGTGAGAGAGTACTGGCACGGCAAGCACAGGTTGCATTTTAACCCTTTTTGTGAAGTGATGCTAAAAGAACAAGTCTTGAGGACCTCGCTGACGCCGCAAATACTTCATTTCTGGGCTTTAAATGCATCAGATTCATGTTTGACTACATAAATCAAAGTCACACATTCACAGTGTTTGAAAAGTCTAAAGTTACTTCAGATATTTTTCACATGCTCTAGTTCGGCTTACCAACATTACTTGCAGTGTTAAGGTAAAAGAACAGTGAAAAAGACGTCCTAAGTTCAGGGATAAAGCAACAGAGTCACTTTCTTCCCCCTGGACTCATGATGAAGCTATATTCAGTAGCTTGTTTATTAGACACACGTAGCTGGTAGTATTTAGTTGAAGTTTGGATTAGATTATAATATGAGGTGCAAAAAATAGAACATGTAGCACATAAAACCTTGTTATTAATGTAGGTGTAACTAGCAACTAAGAATATATTAAAGCTTAAATCCACAGGAGCGTTTAAAGCATGTTTTGTGTCTCAATCCAGGTGATTTTCCTTTTTATGGGAAACCAAAACTTCTTCAACAGGTGTCAAACCTTTTTATATTAATAAAAAAAAAATTTGCTTTCCCGTTTTTCCCAGAAAAAGGGGATCCAGCCTCCTTGTTTCCTTCCCTAATTTCTGCACATAGCTGAACTGATATGACACGTTTCAGAGGGGCTTTGCCACTCAGGGCCCCCCAGTCAGTACACTGGACCCTATGTCAATCATAAAAGACAGCTATGTCAGGTGCCTTTTTTATATAACATCGTAACTTTGCTCACTTCTGTTAAAGGGACAGTTCACCATTTTCCACTTCCTAAAGAACTATGCAGTAGCACACAATGAACAAGCACAAAAAGTGAGCGTGTGTTTCTCAAATTTCTGGTAATTTTTTATATTCACGCACAAACTGACTCTCTCTGTCTGTCTCTCTCTCTCTCACACACACACACACACAGACGCACACTTAAGTCTATAAATAAAAGGCAGAAGAAGAGAGCAGATTTAGGTCAGCAGACATGTCTACATGCTGTTGAGCGCTCCACTCTCTCCACTGAGCCACCGAGGGAGAAAACAGCTTGACACTTCCAGTGACAAAGCCTCTGAAACTGCAGAAATCTACAGCGTTGACATGTCTGGTCATCGGGTGTGAAGTAGTACCCACCTTATTACTGCAGTATGTGCCTTATTACTGCAGCACGCGCCACATCATGGCAAAAATCTGCCTTTTTACCACAGTGCCCACCTTGTTACAGCAGCACCAGCTTCAGTACTGCGAGTGTCATCGTTTCAACTGCAGACAGCAGCCGTATTACTTGAATATAATCCTCATCAGCACAAACCAAGCCTTGCTACTGCACCGCTCACGCATGCTAAAGGTATACAGCTCACCTACATTAACCACCCCTCATGCATCAAACTCTGTTATTATCAGGTCTTACAGATTCAAAATAAAAGCCTGCAGCTGTCATGTCTTCTGCAACATCCAGGCTCTCTGAGCTTTAATGTTTTCCTCCCAGCTCGATGCTGATGCATTTGTTCTGGAGATGGCAGCATGAGCTGAACGAGCTGCCTGGGTGCAAAAATAAAATCAGGATTGTTTTTTCCGGAACTGGAAATGCTCCAGTAAACCAAATAGTACAATTTGGAAATATTAAATGGACTCTAGACCCTACCTGGAATTTGGGGACCTCCTGAGGACTTCCCCATTCAGTAAAAACTAGGCTTTCCTCTCTCCCCATGTGTGGTTTTCTGCTCATTTACAGTTGTATAACTCTGCAGCACATCTGCTGACTGTCTGTGGTCTGATGCTAGGTCTATGTTGTGGGTACTCGTGAGCGCAAAGTAAGTACCTCTGACATGCCTGATGCACAGCTTGCAGGTTACAACCAAAAAGTGAGGAGCTGCTGTCATTAGGGGAGTTCTCCTATGTGTTGTGGTGCTTGTTACGAAAGTTAGAGGCCCCTCAACTTTACCACAACAGCTACACTTACTTAGGTTTAAGAAACACAGTTCACTGCTTCGCTGGTGTCCAACACTACGTCTCACAAAGGTAGCCAATAGCAGGATATCGTAGCGGGGGGCTCACGAGATAGTCCAGAATGAGTGGGAGCCCTATGGAGCTGAAACTTTGTTTTGTTTCCAGGTTTTGATTTCATCAAAAAGCCTTTTTGGGAGTGTTAAGACATGTCACAGTACCAAGAGCCACTCTACGATTTTCACTTAAGACACGAACCAGCAACCACAACCAGCTGCTGCTTAGACATAGATCAATTTCTTCACAGTTCTACATGTCTAGCCATTGTTTATCATTTCATAAATCCTTTAATGGATCAATCAGCATGGAATAGAAGAATGCTAGTAGCTTCCTATTAGGAAAGCCAAAAGGACTTAAGTGTCTTTTTGTCCAAATTAAAATGTGTCCTTTTCCTTAAGAAGCCAATGTAATTAATTACTTTATTTAAATAATTTATTCAAGTAGCTCACCCAATAGATTGAGGACTGGCTCCTCAGCGCCCTCTGCTGAACGTTGCCGAACTGCAGCCATTTTTTGTACGACGGGATTACGAGGAAGTGGAAGAGTGGCATGTGTGTATACACACACACACACACACACA